ACATCTGGAAGAACCTTCAATTACCACAAGGTAATTTCCTCTCTTGACTGTGTATAAGTCCACTGAAGTCAATGAGACTTGACCACATGCTTAAATTTAAGTGCTTACATGGTTTGTTGAATAGGAGTAGACTTAAGCCTGTGCTTAAAATTAAGCACATGGTTAAGTGCTCTGCTGAATCAGGCTTTATAGATGTTATGGAACTTTTTCAGATCCTTATACTTATCCAAAGTATATTATGTGTTTATGATGCTGCTACAGTGCTTTTTCCAAAAGATAGCTGAGTCTACAACCACATTTTTCCAAGGTGATGATGAGGTGTTAATAGTAAATGAAATTATTTTATAGGATATTAAATTTTGTCAGCATGTAAATTTTCACTTAATGTACTGAAGTCTAGTTAGCTGTCTTTGGTGCCATCTAGTGTTTTTTATTTTAATATACAAAGTGTAGTTAAGGCATTTTAAAGGCAAACTGTTTGTTTTATTGCATTTCTACATGTCAATAGCAATCTTAATCCCTTGACTTTCTGTTATCTGTTTACAAAATTTGTAAAAAGGGAAGCTCTAATTAATTCTATAGTTCTTAAAGTCAATCATACTTAATGTTGTAACTCATACAGTATGGAAGATCACCTCCTCTTTGAAAATGTTTTAACATTTTGCAAGGACTTACAGAGCCTTGTAATATCTTTCCTGCAACTGTGTAGTTTGTGAAGTCTTGCACATGCTTTTCATTGTTGTAACTTTGGGTTGTCTGTCCTGATAAGCAGGTCCCTGTGGCCACCTTTCATGCTTAAAAGCTTTTTTTTAGTTATAAAATCCTTATCTATGCTTTGGTAGAGAGGTGAGGATCCAAAATGACAGCCATGAAGTGCCATAGGGTATTGAAAAAGTCTGCAGTTAAACCCAGTTTCTACAACTGACAGTTCTATATCATGCCAGAATAAGTCAGATATCTTTCTCTCGTATATATTTCCGATATACCCCAAATACAACCAAGTACAAACTTAAGAGTCGATTACATTTGGAATGGTCTGAGGATGAAGTGTCATCCTTGATGCCTATTATCCTTGCTATTTTAAATTTGTCATATTTGTTTTAATTAATATTTTGTCGTGTAATATTTTTAAATAGTAGAGCCAAAGTTCCCCTGAAATGTTCATTAAGAGTTAATTATAGATTGTAACCAATACTCAGAAATTATTTCCATCTGTTGTGTAAACTTGTATTGATATAACTTTATAAACACATCCGGTAGATTTAAGTGGCTTATTCAGAGCCCCTTAGGTCTACTAAGCTATTACTTACATCTCTAATATCCGTGAAAACTGCTGGAATGACAACCCTGGAAACTGATGACCTGGTTTAATCCACAAAACAGTTTTTTTTAAACACTACGGGTAGCAGCAGTAGATGTTTCATACCACTGTCCTGGAGAACCCTGTATCAACTCTGACCTGGAGAAAACACTTTTCAGGCCAAAATGGTTGTTAAATCATCTTGGTCATTCAATCCTTAGGGTATGTCTACACTACCCGCCAGTTTGGCGGGTAGTGATTGATCTACCAGAGATCGATTTATCGCGTCTAGTGTAGACGCGATAAATCGATCCCCGATCGCTCTGCCGTCGACTCCGGAGCTCCACCATGGCGAGAGGCGGAAGCGGAGTCAATGGGGGAGCGGCGGCCGTCAATCCCGCACCGCGAGGACACAAAGTAAGTGATTCTAAGTCGATCTAAGATACGTCGACTTCAGCTACACTACTCTCATAGCTGAAGTTGCATATCTTAGATTGACACCCCCACCCCCAGTGTAGACCAGGCCTAAGTCTCTTCAGAGACTGACAATTAGTGCTAGTGGGGCTTTAATGCTGTGCTAGGTATTAGGTAGCAACAACCCAGTAAACCTCTGAACAACTGTAAGATGGTAATGACTTTCAGTCACTATTTCCCATTTGAACTGGTGACATGGAAATGAATGACTTTATTTCCTTTTGCCAGGCTTATTGCTGATGTTACCCAGTTGTTCCATCATAGTCATTTTTTTAAATTAAAGATGTTAAAATAAAGTTTTAAACAAAGTTCAAAACAGATCCTTCAGCCAGTAAGAGCAGCTGCAGAAGCAGCCAAAGCTGGGGCCCTTTGGACGTTCAGGGAACTTCCTATGGTTTTGACAGGATTTTCTCTGCTATGTGCTGATTGGCTGTTTTTTCCAACCCTCTCCTTCCCTCACAATCTGTTCACCAGTGCGTCACTCCACACCTGGACCTCTTAACCTCCTCTCTACCCTATTCCCTTCACTCCCCCTTCCCTTCAGTGTCTCATCTCCATTCATTTTTCTTTCCGTTTAGCTTATCAACTCCTAACTAAATCCATCAAATAAATATACTTTAGAACCAAGATGACATTTGCTGCCATCACATTGTTCCCTCTGCATGTGAGTTATACTCCTTCCCCCACCCTGTGTCTATCTTGTCTGCTTAGACTGTAAGCTCTTCAGGGCAGGGACGATCTGTTACTCTGTATTTATATAGTCTTGCACAGAGGGGCCCCATTTTTCGTTGGTTCTTAGGCACTGTCATAATAAATATGATTAATATATGTATATGTATATATGAATGTTTTACACTGACTAGACTGTTTCCAGTTATAGTAGGTTTAGAGGTTCAAATATTAGGTATTGCCATTATTATTGCTCAGGCAAATTAATAAGCCAAACAATTTTTCTCCTCGCCTTAACTGCAGAGGCTAATCTGGATACTAAAGGAAAATCTTGTTTCCAACATTTATCAGAATAAACATCCACACTCATACTGTAAAAGAGGGGATAGTGAATTTGGCTACTTTGGGCTCAGACAGAATGTACATTCCTTAATGAACAATGTAGTTAATTTATCTATGTTCTATATATATGTATTGCAATAATGTCAAAAGACCCATCAAGAAGCAGCACCCCGTTGTGCTAGGCACTGTACAAACACTGAACAAAAAGACAGCCCCTGCCCCAAAGAGCATACATTCTAAGTAACTTAGTTGAGAAGGAAAAAATCTTTAGGTAACCTGTAGACAAAATTATTTCAATGGGAGTTAACTTTAGCATCTTATTTTTACCACCAGGAGGAGCACTATTAAAATATTCTTATCTGTATACTGGCACAATCTTTCTAATGCTGTTGCTGTAAATTTTCCATACCTTTGGGAATACCCCAAATTGTTAAAGGCAGAGGAATAAAGATACTATTGTGGAATGTAGGTTATACTTAAGAAAAGTTTCAAAAAGAAAACAAGTGAAGTGCTTTTATTTAAAAAACAACGTTTTAGAATTTTTTTCGTCCTCAAGAAATAATTGTTTTCGTGACATTTACACTAGAATTTATTTCTAAATCATGATTATATGGAGTAGTACTATGGCTGCAACACTTTGCAGTGTTAGCAGGAGGCCCAGAATTGGAATGAGATCTCCCACTTCCGAAACTGGAGATTTACTTACTTTATAGTAGTTCATCTTCAGGATACAGGGTGATAGAATTGCTAACAAAAACTCTCTGTGTCAGCCCATGCTAGCTTTTTACTAGATAAGCATTAGAATGTAAAACGATTGCCTATATTCTGCTATCATAGATGGGAGGAAAGTTAACATGGTGGCATTCAACAAGGATAAAGGGACTGGTCCATAAAGATGTGGCTCAGTACTTGATTGTGCTAGGCACTGTACAAACATAGAAAATAATTCTGTGGGCAGAATATTATTTAAGTGTTTTCTTTTTCCATTTATAAATACAATTTCTTCTTCTGAAAACGTAACTGTTTTATTTTGTCATATGCAGCACCATACCCATTATCTGTGCCTAACAAATAATATTTTTCTCTTCTCAGGAAAAAACATGTTTCACAGGACAGTCCCTTATGTTGACTTGTATAGCTATAATTAGTGGTATTTGGCTCCCTCATTCGGGATTGTTCTGTGGTGACTATTCTTGAACTCAAATTATGTTATGCCCTGACATAGGGAAAATAGGCATATATGACTGATTTATATTTTCCCCAAGGAGGACTGAAAATCAAAGGATAGTATTAGCATTTAAAAGGAAGTGCTTGAAATTAGAGTCTTTGTATTAACAGAGATTTTTCTGAATAATCAACAAGAAGCATATTTGAACTCTTAGATTTTCTTTGGATAGTAGATTTTATCCATGTAGTGGAACTTAATGCACAGTACACCATGTTATCCTTTAAATTGCTGTGATGTGCACATATTCTAAATCTGACTTCAGAAAAGGAGTAGGATTTCCTAATAGTGTTTTCAAATATTTGTATTCCATATGGATTTTATGATTCATAAACTGGATTATCATCAGTTCCCTGTTTTACATTCCTGGCACATTACTGCCACTGATTGAAAATGCTGTTGTAGCCCTTGCTGGAATTAGTTCTTTTCTACAGTGTTGAAGCATCTGCTCAGCAGATATTTTTCTACAAAGTATCAACATGTTTTCTTCTTGCCCTTTTATCATGAAAGTGGCTGTTAAAAAAATAAATACATACAAATAAGCCTAGTTGGCCCCTCTTTTTTTGCGGTGGACTCTTCAAACAGTTCTCAAGGACCCTCTAACTCTCAAACTTAACTGACTCTTGTCCCTTGACATCACATACTATTCACAATATTGAACAATAGGGGAGGATAATCAACATACCTGTTTGAGGTCTATTGCAAGGTAACTGGCTCTTTTTTATATAAAAGGGAATTGAGGGGTAAGAACTACAATAGGCTCAGTGAGTTCTAAAGCCCAACTTAGGAGACATGACACTTGTTTGAAAACAACAATATTTTATAGTTTCTCAATTTAAACATGGCAGAGGTCTAAAAAAATTAAAGGTAATTGAAAAAAAAAGTCAGCTGAAGTTGCAAAATTAATGAAATAAGGCACCTAAACTATTAACTTTTTGACTTGTTCATTTAAATGTTTTGCTGCAAATAATTCCTAATGTTTGTTTGCAGGAAGAAGACGAGCTGGACTCCCACACCATGGTTAAAACTAATTCAGAGAGTGCTGGCACAATGAGGGCCACAAGCACAATGAGTGAAAGTGCCCAGACAATGATTGAACATAACAGTACCATGTTAGAATCAGACTTAGGGACTATGGTGATAAATAGCGATGATGATGATGATGATGAAGAAGAAGATGGGACTATGAAAAGTATGTTAATTATTTATTTCCTTTTTCGATTAAGAATTATTTTTCCAAATTGCACAAGGGTGTACAGCATTATGGTATCAATATTTAAACACTGTATATACTGCTTTTAACATGTAGTCCTTATAAACTGTATCTTGCTCTTTCTCTCATGCCCCACATTTGTTTGGATGAATTTCTTGAAATTAAACTGAAATGTAGTAATTATGAGATAAAGCTAATTAATAAGATCCTGATTCTCAAATTGGATCCATGCAGAAGTATTCTCTGTGCCTGTGTATGGGCCCATTGACTTCAAAGAGACTCTGTATGGGTATTGCAGTCTGTCTGCACAGATCCAGTTGCAGGATAGGGGCATGCTTTTTTTTTTCACGTTGTATATCCAGAAAATATTGGGGCCAATTAGCATATTTTATTTAAGTATTGTCATCTTTCACTGACAGACAGATTCCAGTTGACTTCAAAGGGCTTTGGACTAGCCCCTAAAAGAGTAGAAAAACTGAAAAATTACTAGTTTTTTTTTAGAGAGCAAAATTACAAAATATGATACAATCTTTGTAATCTGCACTTGTTAAACAGTGACTTCATGACACATTCTGATACCCTTACTCATGTTGTGTATGACCTTCACTCCACAAGAACATCTGTAGAGGGACTATTTGTTTAATAAGGTACAATTCAACATGAGTGAGAGTATCCGAAATTGTCGGTAAGTACCTGAATCTGTGAGGTGAGGTGCTGAGCACTTTTACCTTCCATTAACTTCAGACATATATTAAATGACTTCGTTAGCAGTTGAAGTTGCTCAGCACCTTGCAGGAGGAATTCCACACTTCTAAGGTTTGGATTCTATTGTGGCAGAATGCAAGGAATTATTTATAGTGTGCAAGAAGCTTGTGTTAAGTCTAAAAAGTAAAGCGAGAGTCTGGTAAACTGAAACGAATGATCAGATAACAAATGAACAATTAAAACAGCGTAGCGTGTTTTATATTAAATGTGAAGTTGGGTGTATGTTGGAAAAACTTCTGTTGTGACTTATGCAAGCTTGGTTTGAAATTCAAGGCAGGATTACATTTTATTTATTTGTGGTGTAGCTTATAGTAGACTGGAGATTTTTTTTTCTCTTCAAATGTAAGATAATAAACAGTCCCATTGATGAGTGATGAGTTTCAGTAAGATGAGTAACCCCATAAAACATTTAGTACATGTTTTAATTTGTTTTGATGCTGAAACAGTATTTGCTTTATAAACTATGAGACTAATAGGGAGGCTTAGTGCAAGTAATCCTGAATTAATCAAATTTAACATGTTATGGAACAGGGTAGTAATAAGTATAAAGGTACCAGATAATTAAAAAAAAAAATTGAGGGAGCGAAGGAAAATCCTGAGTAAATTCTTGTGGGTAGAAATGTTACAAAGTAAGGATTTCAAGAAAAAGATGATATGCGGCCTTCCAAACCTTTTAAGACTCAAAAATCCATGCAGGCAGATGATCAGCCTGCCAAAAGGACAGGTCAACATGGTGTGCAAAGCCAAACCCACTCTCTCCCCCCAAGATCTGTGCTGGGAATTGCAGTTATTTGGGGAATGAGAGTTTATATAAATGAGTTCCTCATCTCATATGTGCTGCAGTTCCTAATCCATGCTCAAATCCTTTCTCTACTCTTTGGAGACATGCAGCCTGCAACAGTTACTGCAATCCTAGTTCTCAAGTACTCCCAGTAGCAAGCTGTGATGGCCTAAGCCTACCTTGCAGTTCGCAAGAGGGATTCTTAACTCTATTGGTAGCTTCCTCTTCTTCAACAGACTTTTTCAGACTTCTGTGTTCTTCCTGAACCTCTGATTGCTAGCTTTTAAAGGGCAAAGGGAGGAATAGAATCTCTGGGACAATATGATTCTTCTTCTTCTTCTTCTCCTTGAGTGTCAGCTTTGTTTTGGGATCGCTAGCCAACAAGCGGTAGCTCTGGACTTTCATGGTCCACTTCCCTGACTAACTGCAATGCAGTGTTATTCCTATGTCACTTTGTCTGTGACCCTCACCCCTACCTCAACCCATCCAGAAAAAGGGAAGGTTTGGGAGACTACTCAGTGCCAATAAGGAGATTACTTAGCTACTTCCAAAGAGGAGCTTCTTACTAGGAATAGGATCAGCTATGTTGTTTGGGAAGAATGCAGATCCTCTGCAACTCTCACTCTCTTGGAAAGAAACGTGGACTGGAGGGAGCCTTAAGAATGTAAATGATGTTCAGAGGTTTCTGCAGAATGCCATAATTAATGTACAACAGACTTCACTTAAAAAAAGTGAGAAATAAAAGTCTAATGGGGCTTTATGAGGGGCTGTTCAAGGGTTTTATAGGAAAGAAATTAGACATGGAAAAAGAGAATAGGCACAACTGGAATATACAGAATTGGCGTCAAATTGTGCCCAGCCCCTGTGTGCATTTGCAAGGGAGGGAAAGGGCACAAGGATCCCTCTTCTCAGAGTGATGGTCCCTATTGTATTCCACTTTGGGTTATGCATGTGCACCATGTGCCTGGAGTCAGAGAATTTGAAAGTAGTGTTCACTGGTCCATGCATGTGCCCTTGCTCGCCTTGTGCTTCTAATCGAGGTGATAAAAGGCAGGGTGGGTCAATCACCTCTTCAGTTCCTTCTCACCATCACATGATTCAGGTTGAAAACTTTAGGGTCCTCAGCTATGATGTCATTCTGAAAAACAATATTAATTGTGATAAATAGTTCATAGTTTTAATAGTTCTTAATAACTTGTATACATTTAGTCATTTTAATAGTTTTTAGTACCTTTTAGAGTTAGATTAGGCTATGGGGGATTCCCCCCACAACCCAGTACCCCATCCGGGTACTGTACTATGCCCAGAACTCCAGGCTTCAAACTCTGCATCTCCTGCCCATGATCCTTCTTGGTCAGCAACAACTATCAACACAGCCTCTATTCCCTGGGAGAAGCTCACATTGCGGCTCAGTGCAGTAGTTGCCAGCCCTTCCCCAGCCGTACCCAAAAAGACGCTTTGCTTTTGTAAGTATCTCCTGGAGATGGCCATGAGACCCCAAACAGACCAGGCCGGGGAACCCTACCTGTACATCAGCCTGAATCAGCAAGGAGTGAGCCTCCTGCTGCAAAGTCTGACTTTGGTGCCAGAGAATCCACAGACACCACAGCGGAACCTAGTTGGGAAGCACTTTCATAAGCACGGGATTAAGTCTTCCTCTATGTCCACTTCACTTCAAAGAAATCAGATGTGCCTGCAAGCAAATCCACCAGCTCAGTCCATGAGGACTTAGTATGTCCTAAGTCCCATAGGCTTGAGAAGAAAGCACAGATACATGGGTCTCTGCTCGCTCCAGACAGTGTTCTGTTGGTACCACCATCCCCAGCTCCTCATAAGACCTGGGTCCCTCTAGTACTGGTGAAGACCGACCACTGCCCGATACCATCATCATTGCTGGCCCGAACAGAAAAAGTCTCCCTTATACCTGGGAGGTCTAGATCCATAGCCACACCACAGGACATTTTTGCTGTCCTGAATCCAGAATCCCCTGCTCCACCGGGACTCTCTGTTTCCAAGGAGCTCACATCTCTTCTGAGAAACCTGCCTGTGGGACAGAGCTTATGGCGCCCTTCCCCCCCCCCCCCCAATTCACAACTCAGACCTCTCCAGTGGCACCAGTGGTACCACCACTGGAAACAGAGTCAGCCTTTTCCTCCTCAGGAGATTCAGAACCATCAGAGTAACCGCTCCTCCTGTACTGTCCTTACTCATTTCCCAAGAGACCCACACGGCCCTGGAATCAACTGCCACTTCACCTGACTTGGAGACACTTGTACCCCATACCTTGGGGACCCCCATGATCACCTACTGGCCATACTGGGACTAACATCCCCCCTTCAAAATCTATTCGATACACCAGGGAGTTGCCACCTGCCTCTTCTTCGAAGGAACCATTAAATTTACCCCCAGATCCAATAGAGGAGTAGTAGTACTATACTCCAGTTCTGGAAGTTCCATTGAAACCAGCCACATTACCATCATCTTCATTGCCTGATGAAGTGGTGACCTAAGGATCCCCTCTCCCCCCAGATGACTTTGGCAATTCCAGGACCTTCTCTGCAGAGTGGTTGGGGAATTTCAGATGCCATGAGAGGCGATTCAGGACTCCTAACACAAGTGCTTGGACATTTTCCATGCCTCTGAAGACCTACAAGAATAGCCCTCCTGGTCAATGAGGCTGTGACAGGGTTCGACTCACCGATGTGGCACCTCCTGCCGGCTATCCTGGGAATTAGCTTAGTTCGTCAGTGCGCCCTCGCATGGTGACGTCTCGCCACCATCACGTCTGCTCCAGGAAGTGAATGGTCCCAAAGAACACAGCATCCTGTTCAAAGCCCCCTCACAGAGGCCATACTGGAGTTGGCTAGGACAGTGTGACACCCCCCCTGCCACCTGTACTCCTACCTCCAAAGGAGTGGAGAGGCATTATTATGTGCTGGCTAAGGATTCAGAATTCCTGTTCTCTTACCCAGCTCCCAACTTGTTGGTGGTTCCGGCCACTTCAGAAAGGTCCAGGCAACGATATCTCAGATCTATTCCCACAGACAAAGAGTGTAAATGCTTAGATCTACTGGTCCTCCAGACTTCAGTTCAGGCTAGCTAATTATCAAGCAGTTGGCTAAATACGATTTCCTGAAGTATTCCAAGTTTGGCAAATTCACCAACAGCCTCCCACAACAGGACTTTATTCATTTCCAACCCTGATAGAGGAAGGGAAGTCAGTAGCCAGAACCACCCTCTAACCTACATAAGAATGACCATACGGAGACAGACCAATGGTTCATCTAGCCCAGTGTCCTGTCTTCCAAAAGTGGCCAATGCCAGGTGCTTCAGAGGGAAAGAACAGAACAGAACAATCATCAAGTCATCCACTACCAGCTTCTGGTGAACAGAGGCTAGGGACACTCAGAGCATGGTGTTGCATCCCTGCCCG